TAATCGCGAATCCAAAATCACCGTCACGATCCTTACTCAAAGTGAGTTGAAAATTTTCAAAAGTTTCAAAATTTTTTCAAAAAATTGGTCAAAATGAGTTCAATCGACGTAAAATTGGTGTCAAATTACAGATAAGCTTCCGGTAATTACAATTCCGAAATTGCAGTCACGATATCTATCCTGATAAATGTGAAATATAAGATCAAAATTTTCAAAATTTCTCCGAAAAAAATGGTCAATTTGAGATCAATCGACTGAAAACGGGTGTCAAATTATAAATAACCTTCGGGGAATTATGATCTATTCAAATAAATGGAAATGAGGTCAAAATTTTCAAAATTTTTCCAAAAAAATGGTGAAAATGAGTTCAATCAACATAAAATTGGCGTCAAATTATAGATATCTTTTGGGTAAATACGAATTCGAAATCGCCCTCACGATATCTATTCAAATAAATGTAAAAGACGAAGTCAAAAATTTTCAAAATTAAAAAAAATATGCCAAAATGAGATCGATCGACTTAAAATTGGTGTCAAATTATTATAGATAAGCTTCCGGTCATTGTGATTCCGAAATTACCGTCAAGATATTTATTCAAATAAATGTAAAAAATGAGTTCAAAATTTTCAAACTTTTCTAAAAAAATTGTCAAAATGAGTTCAATAGACCTAAAATTGGTGTCAAATTATAGATAAGCGTTCGGTAATTATGATTCCGAAATCGATGTCACGATATGTATTCAAATTAATGTGAAAGACGAAGTCAAAACTTTCAAAATTTAAAAAAAAATGGTTAAAAGTAGTTGAATTGGCCGAAAATTGGCGTCAGGTTATAGATAAACTATCGTTAATCACGAATTCAAAATCACCGTCACGATACTTATTCAAATAGACGTGAAAAGTCAGGTCAAAATTTTGAAAATTTTTCCAAAAAATTATCAAAATGAGTTCAATAGACATAAAATTGGTGTCAAATTATAGATAACCTTCCGGTAATTATGATTCTGAAAACGCCTTCACCAAATCTATTCAAATAAAAGTGAAAAATGTGAAAGATGAGGTCAAAAAATTTCAAAATGTTTCCAAAAAAAATTATCAAAATGAGTTCAATCGACTTAAAATTGGTGCCAAATTGTAGACAACCTTTCGGTAAATGCTAATCCGAAATCCCCTTCAAATAAATGTCAAACATGTGTTCAACATGTTAAAAAAAATTTTCCAAAAATATGGTCAGCATGAATTCAGTCGACTGAAAATTAGAATCAAATTATAGATAAGTTTCTGGTAATTACGACTCTGAAATTGTCGTCAGAGGATATCTATTGAAATAAACGTGAAAAGTAAAGTCAAAATTTTCAAAATTTTTTCAAAAAATTGTCAAAATGAGTTCAATCCATTTAAAATTGGTGTCAAATTATAGATAACCTTCCGATAATTATGATTCTCAAAACGCCTTCACCAAACTTATTCAAATAAAAGTGAACGATGAGGTCAAAATTTTCAAAATTTTTCAAAAAATAATAGTTAAAATGGATTTAATTCGTCGAAAATAGGTGTCAAATTGTAAATAATCTAATTGCGAATCCAAATGAACGCGGAAAATAAATAAAATTTTCAAAATTTTTCCAAAAAAATAGGTACACTGGGTTCAATTCACCGAAAACTGTACATAATTTTCCGATAATTACAAATACGAAATCGCCGTCTGGATATCTATTTAAATAAACATGAAAAAGCAGTGTACAATTTTCAAAGATTTTCCAAAAAGATTATTAAAATGGCTTCAAGAGGCTGAAAGCTGGTATCAAATTGTACATGATTTTCCGCAAATTAAGAATCCGAAATGGTGGTCCTAAATGTATTCAAATAAACGTGAAAAGTGAGTGCATAATTTTCAAAATGTTTCCAAAAAAATTGTTAAACTGGGTTCAATTCACCGAGAATTGATATCAAATTGTAGATAATTTTCCGATAATTACAAATTCGAAATCGCCGTTTGGATATCCATTTAAATAAACGTCAAAGGTGAGTGTACAATTTTCAAAATTTTTCCAAAAAATTTGTTAAAATGAATTCAATTTACCAAATTTTGGTGTCAAATCGTAAATAATCGTCTGCTAATTACGAATCCAAAATCACCTTCACAACATCTTGTCAATTAAACGTAGAAATTGAGTTTAAAATTTTCAAAATTTTTCCAAAAATATGGTTAAAATAGCTTCAATCAGCTGAAAATTTTTATTAAATTATACATAAATGTCCGTTAATTAGGAATCCGAAATGGCGGTCCTGACATCTATTCAAATAAACGCGAAAAGTGAATGTATAATTTTCAAAAGTTTTCCAAAAAAATTGTTAGACTAGGTTCAATTCACTGAAAATTGATGTCAAATTGTAGATAATTTTCCGACAATTACAAATGCGAAATCGCTGTCTGGATATCTGTTTAAATAAACGTGAAACGGGAGTGTATAATTTTCAAAAATTTTCCAAAGACATTATTAAAATGGCTTTAAGCTGCTGAAAACTGTATCAAATTGTACATGATTTTCCGCAAATTAAGAATCCGAAATGGCGGTCCTAAATGTATTCAAATAAACTCGAAAAGTGAGTGTAAAATTTTCAAAATTTTTCAAAAAAAATTGTTAAACTGGGTGCAATTCACCTATAATTGATACCAAATTGTATGATTTTCCGATCATTACAAATCCGAAATCGCCGTTTCGATATCCATTTAAATAAACGTCAAAAGTGAGTGCAAAATTTTCAAAATATTTCCAAAAAATTTGTTAAAATGGATTCAATTCACCAAATTTTGGTGTCAAATCGTAAATAATCGTCTGCTAATTACGAATCCAAAATCACCTTCACAACATCTTGTCAAATAAACGTAGAAATTGAGTTTAAAATTTTCAAAATTATTCCAAAAATATGGTTAAAATGGCTTCAATAAGCTGAAAATTTGTACTAAATTGTACATAAACGTCCGTTAATTAGGAATCCGAAATGGTGGTCCTGACATCTATTCAAATAAACGTGAAAAGTGAATGTATAATTTTCAAAAGTTTTCCAAAAAAATTGTTAGACTAGGTTCAATTTATTGAAAATTGATGTCAAATTGTAGATAATTTTCCGACAATTACAAATCCGAAATCGCTGTCTGGATATCCGTTTAAATAAACGTGAAAAGGGAGTGTACAATTTTCAAAATTTTTCCAAAAATTAGTTAAAATGGATTCAATTCACCAAATTTTGGTGTCAAATCGTAAATAATCTTCCACTAATAATGAATCCGAAATCACCATCACGACAGCTATTCAAATAAACGTGAAAAATGAGTGTGAAATTTTTAAATTTTTTTCAAATAATGGTTAAAATGTGATCAATTAGCTGACGAAATAATCCACAAACTGATGCTGCAGACAATTTTAGAGATCGAAGTTGGCTGCAAGGAATTTTTTATATTTTTTGGAAGAATTGTCTGGAAGACCAAAAATTTCTAATCTTCTCAGCTATCCAAAAAATGTAATTTATCTCCGGACGGAGATTATACCCGGAAACTGAAAACTATATATTACGTAATAGACTTTTTTTAAGGACGTATTCAGTGTCACTCCGGAAAAACTGGCTCTTCAAAAATTACAAAAAAAATTGCTGTCATGCAGAAATGCCGTGTCTATAAGAAAAAAAATCTGAAAACCGATAGAACGACTTGTTTTTAAATTATCTGTGCTCAACATAAAATTTTTAGAAAATCTCAAAATTTGCCATATTTTGTCTGTCGCCACAGATGACTTTAACAAATATTATAGCGCACCCTGACGCCGGTCCTGCCCAAAAACATCACCCAACTCGCGCGATCCATAACTCGCAATAAATGTTATTTAAACCGTACCCGCATTCATTCATGCCAGTTATTCGTCAGTGCGGTTTCATCGTCGGACAATAGTTTTTTAAATTTCCACAGCGCCGAAAAAACCCTCAGTGTACAAGTCATCCGACGCAAGATAAACTATTTTCCGTTTTTACAACCCGCATAGTTCGAACGCAGCTTCCAGCTGCAACCGGACCACAACTGTTTGCCCCACTTCGACAACAAAAAGCATCGATGTGCACACTCCGAAAAACAGCCCAAACTTTCACAATGCAAGAAAAATATTCGCGGAAAGTAAAATATTTTATTAATACCATCTTTTATTTTCGTATTGTTGCGGAATGAAAGTCTCTCGTAAATCATCTTAATTTGATCGTTAAGGGCATAATTTTGTTACTACTGTGACCATCTGTGACAATAACAATGCTTTCAGCTATTCTGTTCTAATCTTGGTAATGTTCATGATTTGAAGGAGACGGCTTTTGATCGATCCGTCTCCCACTAATTCGGGTTTATTGTTGGAGCACTAAATTAAATGTAAACAGAATAAAAATGTGGAGAAATTCGAAATTAATCACGTTATGGCTCGACGTGCTGGTGGGTTTTAATTGGGTCATAAATTAGTAATGTGAATAGTGTAACCGTAAGTTTTAATTGCTCCAATAGGAGTTATTCGGAAATTTTTTATCTTTATTCGTCCGTCTCTCTCACCCCGGGTGGAAATTGTTAACACTGAATCAATCGAAACACACTTCACAGTTTAATCCGCGACACAAAACAAAGTTTTACGTTTCTTTCTTTAACAGGAACAATTTTAAGTCCGAAAACTAATTAATCAGCGCCATTTTCTCAAACTTGATAGAAAAATCGTCTATAGAACCGATTCGTGTGACCCTTTGTCGCACCCAGCTATCCCCTTTAATTTTAAAATCGCTCCTTTATGTGAATTCCCGGGGGATTTTTCAGTCTTTTGGAACGTTAATTGTTATTATTCCCATTATGGGGCCATTAAAATCGCTTTGTAAACCGACCCGAGCGGCACGCAGCGTTTAAACTTCTTAAGTAAAGTCCTTGTCAGGTGTTAAAATTTCCATTAGAAGAGTTTGCTTGCGGTTGCAACTACTTACGCTGGTATGTGAGGGTGATAATAAGTTCCTGCCGGGTTCCGGGTTTGGCTGACGGCTTGATGTTTCCTCCGGTAGAGTTCCGTGAGGTCCGACGCAACGTGCACGTGAACGTCTGACGGACAGTCGCTCTCGGAGAGTTCTTGCTCTTCTGTCACATATTGAGAGACATAACCGTAAGACATCGTCGAAACTGGAAAACACGGAATGAAAAATTTAGATTCGTGCTCGGAAACGTCGATAAAAGTTCTGCGGAACAAGTTTGGAATTTTTTGCATGTGGGCAGAGGGAAGTTTGGAGCTTGTTAAAAGTTAATTGCACTGGTGCACCGTCGAGAATTTCTTTAAAGAGAAGTTTTGCCACAATAATTAAGTGTAATTGAATTTTTATCGAAATTGGATAAGCAGGAAGTTGGAGGTTTATTATAAAAGTTTCCATGTAAGTTCGAGGTGCAGCGTTCATTGAACATGTTTCTGGAAAGGCGGGTGAGTGTGGGTAATTCGCCGGAGGCAAAAATTGCATCAAGGCGGAGAAAGGGAAATAAATTGGTTCAGATTGAGGAGGGAGCTATGGTTGATCTAATTTGGGGGCTTAATTTAAACTTCTTACCTGTCCTGAGACAATAAATGATTTACACTTTAGAGAGGCACAGGAAGTGGGTAGAATTTCAATGCGAGGTAGAGATACGCGAAAAAATTAAGGCTCTTTTGTCAAATTATATTATTTAAATAAAAATTGTATCAAAGACAGATCTTCAAGACTCCGTGGCTGTCTTTGATTGTGTTCTTTGTTGCTGTTTCGGTTTTATTTAAAGACGTGAGTGATGAGAATCTATTCTAGAATCCAAAAAATTGGCCTATAGAATTACACATTACTTTTCTCAGGCCTGAATCGGTGTTCTGATATTGCATTGTACATAATCTTCCACTAATTAGGAACCCGAAATGGCAGTCACGACATCTATTCAAATAAACATGAAAAGTGAGTGTATAAATAATTTTCAAAATTTTTCCAAAAAAATGGTTAAAATGGGATCAACTGGCTGAAAATTGACGTCAAATTGGCGATAATCTTCTGTTAATTATGAGTCCGAACTCACTGTCACGACCTCTTTTCAAATAAACGTAGAAAGTGAGTGTAAAATTTTCAAAATTTTTCCAAAAAAATGGTTAAATGGCATCAATCGGTTGAAAATTGGCCTCGAATTGTTGTTAACAATCAGCTAATTAGGAATTTGAAATCGAGGTTACGATGTTTATTCAAATAAACGTCAAAACTAAGCGTCCAATTTTCAAAATTTTTCCAAAAAATGGTTTAAATGGGGTCCATTGGCTGACGAAATATCGACAAACTGATCCTGCAGACAATTTTAGACATCGAAGTTGAGTGAAACGAATTTTTGGTATTTTTTGGAACATTGTTTGGAAAGCCAAAAATTTCGAATCTTCTCAATTATTGAAAAAAAAGAACTTTATCTTCAAGTAGATGAAAAATCGAAGAATCTCGAAGTCGATACGGTAACTGATTTATGAAATATTCGTGCCCGAAATCAAATTTTATAATTTTTCGAAGAAGCTGGACTGTACGTTATGAGGAAGAAAACTTCAGATTAATTTGTTTTTTAAATGTGAAGAATCTTTTTGAAAGCAACAATTTGTTAACTATAGAAGCCACGAATTAACGTGCGAATAATTTAGAAACGACAAATATTTATGACACTTTTTCCACATCGAACGTCACACCGCACCCCGAAGCCGGTCCTGCCCAAAAAATAATTCCCAGGTCGCGCGATCCATAAATCGCCATAAATGTTATTTAAACATGCCCGCATTCATTTATAGTACCAATCTTCGAGATTCTTAAAAATTACTTTAAAAACAAGACAAACAGGGATCTTCGAGGTTCTTTCAAACTACTTCAAAAATGATACATAGAAAGACCCCCGAGATTCTTTCAAATTACTTCAAAAATGAGAAAGAGGTCCCCAAGATTCTTTCAAACTACTTCAAAAACCATAAAGGGATCCCCCAGATTCTTTCAAACAATTTAAAAGAAAAACACACAAAGGTCCATGAGATTCTTTCAAATTACCTAAAAAAAATACAAGGGATTTTCGAGATTTTTTCAAACTACTTCAAAACTAATACACAGAAAGATCCTCGAGATTCTTTCAAATTACTTCACAAACCAGAAAGAAATCCCAAGATTCTTTCAAACTACTTTAAAACAAGACAAAAGAGATCCTAGAGATTCTAATAACTTGTTTCAAAAACAAGGGAACAAGGCACAGAAAGATCCCCAAGAATCTATCAAACTACTTAAAAACAAAGCACAAGAATTTCCCGAGATTTTTTCAAATTTCTTTAAAAACAATCTACCGAAAAATCCCAGAAATTTTTTTAAATTACTTTAAAAACAAGATAATAAATCCTCGAGATTCTTACAAATTACTGTAAAAACAAGTTAAGCAGGGATCTCTAAGACTCTTTTAAACTACGTAAAAAACAATACACAGAAAGATCCCAGAGATTCTTTCAAGTTATGTACTTTAAAAACCAGCAATGGATCCTAAGATTCTTTCAAACTACTTCAAAAACAAAACAAAAGGGGTACCGGAGATTTTTACTTATTACTTTAAAAACAAAACAAGGGATCTCCGAGATTCTTTCAAATTACTTCAGAAACCAGAAAAGGATCCTCAAGGTTCTTTCAAACTACTTAAAAAAAACACATAAGAATTCCCCGAGGTTCTTTAAAATTACTTCAAAAATAAGATAAAAAATCAATCTTCGAGTTACAAATTATTGTAAAAATAAGACAAGCAGCGAGATTCTTTCAAAATATTTCAAAATCAATACACAGAAAGATCCCAAAACTCTGTCAAATTACTTCAAAAATCAGAAGGGGATCCAAAGATTCTTTCAAATTACTTCAAAAACAAAAGAAAAGGGGTCCCCGAGATTCTAAAAACTTGACTCAAAAACAGTGCATACAAAGATCCTCAAGATTCTTTCAAACTACTTAAAAAAAAAACAAAAAGTCCACGAAGTTCTTTCAAATTAGTTCAGAAACAAGAAAAGGAATCCTCGAAATTCTTTCAAACTTTCAAATTACTTCAAAAGTAAGGCTCAAGCTATCTCAAAAGCAAAGCACAAGCATTTCCCGAGATTTTTTCAAATTTCTTAAAAACAATACACAGAAAAATCCCAGAGATTCTCTTAAATTACCTTAAAAACAAGACAATGAATCCTCGAGATTCATCCAAACTACTTCAAAAACAAAACACAAGAGGTACCGGAAATTCTTACAAATTACTATAAAAACAAGAATCTTTCAAACTACTTCGAAAACAGTACACAGGAAGATCCACGAGATTTTTTCAAATTACTTCAGAAACCAGAAAAGGATCCGCAAGGTTCTTTCAAACCACTTAAAAAAACATATAAGAATTCCCGAAGGTTCTTTCAAATTACTTTAAAAATAAGATAAAGAATCTTCGAGATTCTTACAAATTATTGTAAAAACGAGGCAAGCAGAGATCTTCGAGATTCTTTTAAACTACTTCAAATACAATACACAGAAAGATCTCCAAGATTCTGTCAAGTTACTTCAAAAAACAGAAGGGGATCCCACGATTTTTTCAAACTACTTAAAAAAAAAACGCGAGTTTCTTTTAAATTACTTCAAAAACAAGAAAAGGAATCCTCGAGATTCTTTCAAGCTACCTCAAAAACAAGACACACATTTCTTTAAAAACTATACAGAGAAAAATCCCAGAGATTCTCTTAAATTACTTTAAAAACAAGACAATGAATCCTCGAAATTCTTTCAAACTACTTCAAAAAAATACACAGAAAGATTCCGGACATTCTTTCATATTACTTCAAAAAGCAGAAAAGGATCCAAAAGATTAGTTCAAAACCACTTGAAAAAAGATACGCTGTGCCCGAGGTTCTTGCAAATTACTTCAAAAACAAGACAAAGAATGCTCGTGTTTCTTACAAACTATTTTAAAAACAAGACAAGGGATCTTCAAGATTCTTTCAAACTACTTCAAAAAGCGTAAACAGAAAGATCTCCGACATTCTTTCAAATTACTTCAAAATGCAGACAAGATTCTTTTAAAAACAAGGTAGAAAACCCTCCAGATTCTTACAAATTACTGACAAGGAATCTCCGAAATTCTATCAAACTACTTCAAAAACAATACACAGAGAGATCCCGGACATTCTTTCATATTACTTCAAAAACCAGAAAGGGATCCAAAAGATTCGTTCAAAACCACTTAGAAAAAAACCAAGCTCTGCCAGAGGTTCTTGGAAATTACTTCAAAAACAAGACAAAGAATCCTCGTGATTAGTACAAATTACTTTAAAAATAAAACTAAAGTGGCCTTTAGTTAATAACTTGATTCATAAATAGTGCACAGAAAGATTTCCGATATTCTTTCAAATTACTTCAATAACTAGAAAGGAATCCCCAAGATTCTTTTAAAAACATGATAGAAAACCCTGCAGATTCTTACAAATTACTGTAAAAACAACACAAGGAATCTCCGAAATTCTATTAAACTACTTAAAAAAAAATACACAGGAAGAACCCCAACATTCTTTCATATTACTTCAAAAACCAGAAAAAAATCCAAAAGATTCTTTCAAAACTACTTAAAAAACACACAAGCATTGCCCCAGGTTCTTTCAAATTACTTTAAAAACAAGACAAGAATTCTTGTGATTCTTACAAATTACTTCAAAAACCAGAAAGGGCATCCCAAGATTCTTTCAAACTACTTAATAAACAAAACAAAAATGGTCCCCAAGATTCTAATAATTTGTTTCAAAAACAATGCACAGAAAGATCAGCGAGATGTTTTCAAATTACTTCAAAATGCAGAAAGGGATCCCCAAGATTTTTTTAAACCACTTCAAAAATAAAACTAAAGCGGTCCTCGAGATTTTAATAACTTGTTTCATAAATAGTGCACAGAGAGATCCTTGAGGAGATTCTTCCAAACTACTTCTAAAACAAAAAGGGGTCCTCGAGATTCTTTCAAATTACTTCGAAAACTAGGAAGGAATCCCAAGATTCTATCAAACTACTTCAAAAACAATACACAGGAAGATCCCGAGATTTTTACAAATTACTTTAAAACAAGACGAGAGATCTACGAGATTCTTTCAAACTACTGCAAACACAATACACAGAAAAATCTCCAAGATTCTTTCAAATTATTAAAAAAATAACACAAGGAGTCCCTAAAGTTCTTTCAAATTACTTCATAAGCAAGACAAGGGATTTTTAAAGATTTTTTCAAATTTCAAAACTAACACACAGGACAATCTCCGAAATTCTTTCAAATTACTTTAGAAAACACAAGGTTCCAAGATTCTTTCAAACTACTTCAAAACAAAAAAAAGGGATCCTAGACATTCTAATAACTTGTTTCAAAAAGAAGGCACAGAAAGATCCTCAAAATTCTTTCAAATTACTTCAGAAAAAGCAAAAAAATTCTCCGAGCTTGTTTCGAATTGCTTCAAAACTAAAACAAAAGCGATTCTAGAGATTCTAATAACTTGTTTCCAAAACAAGGCACAGAAAGATCCGAAAGATTTTATCAAACTACTTCAAAAAAAACAAAAAAATTCCCCGAGCTTGTTTCATGTTACTTCAAAAACATAAAAAGGGATCCTGGAGATTCTTTCAAATTACTTCAAAAGTAAGGCCCACAGGGAGCTGTGGAGATTCTTTTAAGGTACCTCAAAAACAAAACACAAGGATTTCCCATTTTTTTTTATTTTTTTTTTAAAAACAATACACAGAAAAATCCCAAAGATTGCTTTAAATTATTTTAAAAACAAGACAATGAATCCTCGAAATTCATTCAAACTTCAAACTTCAAAAACAAAACACAAGGGGTCCCCGAGATTCTTTCAAACTACTTCAAAAACAAAACACAAGAGGTGCCCGAGATTCTTTCAAATTACTTCAAAAACCAGAAAGAAATCCTCAAGGTGCGTTCAAACTACTTAAAAAAACACACAAATGTGCCGGAAATTCGTTCAAATTACTTCAAAAATAAGATAAGGAATCTTCAAGATTCTGTAAAAACACGACAAAGCAGGGATCTCCAAGATTCTTTTAAACTACTTAAAAAACAATACATAGAAATATTCCAGACATTCTTTGAAATTACTTCAAAAACCAGAAAGGGCTCCCAAGATTGTTTCAAATTACTTCAAAAACAAAACCAAAGGGACCCCCGAGATTCTAATAACTTATCTCGCAAACAATGCACAGAAAGTTCCTCAAGATTCTTTCAAAACAAAAAGTCCCCGAGGTTCTTCCAAATTACTTAAAAAAAAAGAAAAGGAATCCCACCGATTCTTTCAAATATTCAAATTACTTCAAAAGTAAGGCCCACAGGGGGCCGTCGAGATTCTTTCCAGCTAACTCAAAAACAAAACACGAAAGTTTCGCGAGATTTTTTCAAATTACTTTAAAAACAAGACAATGAATCTCGAGATTTTTTCAAACTACTTCAAAAACAAAACACAACAGGCACCGGAGTTTCTTACAAATTACTTTAAAAGCAAAACAAGGTATCTCCGAGATTCTTTCACACTACTTCAAAAACAATACACTGGAAGATCCACGAGATTCTTTCAAATGACTTCAAAAACCAGCAAGAGATTCTCAAGGTTCTTTCAAACTACTTAAAAAATAAAACTAAATGATACTCAAGATTTTAATAACTTGTTTCATAAATAATGCACAGAAAGATCCTCGAGATTCTTTCAAATTACTTCGAAAAACAAAAAGGGGTCGTCGAGAATCTTTCAAATTACTTCAAAAACATGAAAAGGAACCCCAAGATTTTATAAAACTATTTCAAAAACAATACACCGTAAGATCCCCAACATTCTTTCATATTACTTCAAAAACCAGAAAAAGATCTAGAAGGTTCTTCAAAAACACTTAAAAAACACACAAGCTCTGCCCGAGGATCTTTCAAATTACTTCAAAAACAAGACAAAGACTCCTCGTGATTCTTAAAAATTACTTTAAAAACAATACACAGAAAGATCCCCTAAATTCTTTTAAAGTACTTCAAAAACTAGACACAAAAGAGGTCCTCGAGATTCTTTCAAATAACTTCAACAACCACTTCAGAAAAAATTTTTGAAAAATGAGGTGAATAAAATATATTGGATCATTCATATTTTTTTTTAATCACCCTGTACAAGTAATCATAAAAACAAATATGGAGTCATAAAATTTTACATACGATTTATTCGGCAAAATTTTGAGATGGCGTCATTAATTTTTTGGAAGGTGGTAAACGTATAAATTTTGATTAAGGAATAAAACGTCTGCAGTTTCAAGTTATAACTTCGATGTTTTTTCCCAAAAATCTGGGTATCTCGAGTAAAATTTCAGTACAGATTCATAAACTACACGTATAGGCGTTATTTTATAAAATTTAAAACACATTCATTATATACAATCTTAGTGTTATTCATCACACACATAAAATTTGACAACAATCCATCTACAAGAATTCTGTTCGTACAAGAAGAGACAGGAGAAAAGCAGCAAAGGATAAAACAAATAATTCAAGAAAATCACAATTCAAGAAATTGTGATTTTAATAGGTATGATCTCGGTAGATCTGGATTGATTTAATCTGACCCAATTTGCTTTAACTTGACCTGATCTGGCCACAGTTGACCTAAGTAGAATTGATTTGGCTTAAATTGACCTAATATGACTTAACCTGACATGACCTAACCTGATCTGACTTTAATAGACTTGACTTGACTTGATCCATCTTCACTTTATCGGATGTGACCTGACTAGGATCTCTCCTGACCTGATTTGAAATGATCCGGTCTGACTGATTTGACCTCGCTTAACCTGATCTGACCTGAACTAACTTAATCTGCTTTACGACTCTATTCTAATACAGAAAACAAGAAAATGAAGGAGGAAACAAAATGAACAAATGAAAAAGCACCGTAAAGATTAAAAAGTAATCAATTATAACTTGTAAGCACATCACAGTTTGCAGATAAACTGGAATAAATTCTGTGTTCATTCTATACCTCATACAATCAATCCATCAACACAATTCGCTTCCACTTCACTCAGCTTAACAATACACATAACCTACACAAATCCTATCCACTGCGCCAATTAAAACTCCTCGAAAAAAAATTCCCGTACATACAGAAGGTGAAAGCAAACTTTAATATTGTTCCTTCGCACGAGCAAAAAAGTTCTTTTATGCGTAAGGTTAGTTCAATAGCCTTAATGCACGAAGCGATGCAAACTTAAATTGATAGCGCCCGCTGAATAAAAATTCCATTTGCTATAATGCAGGGCCGAAACTTTTTAATTCGCGTCTTCGTTGACAAGTTGTCGGTTGCAGGACCTCATTGTTGGCCAAATAAAGATTAGACGGGCGAACTTTTAACGCTTCGTGATTTCGGCTGACAAGGATGCGAGGCTACTTTAATGGAATTAATGCGGTTTACCTTAGGACGGTTCAAGTGCTGGGGCGAAGTATTACTGTGCACTGATTCATTTATTAAACTAGAAAAAAACGTCGAAAAAATACTGACACTTCGCGGACATGACGGAAACCGACGTGATTATTTTAACCCCAAGGTGGCACCGTGACGGGGCGGATCTTCGCAGAGGACACGTTTTTGCGGCGTCGGCCCAAATTGGATTAAATGTTATTAAGGCGAAAACAACTGATTTTATTATTAGATGGGAAAGTTTAATTTGTTTTACGGCCAACTATTTGGAGCGACCGGGGGCGAAATTTCAATTAAAAATTGAATAATTCATTAGTGTTTGCAGCGTATTACACCCCCGAGTGAAAGTCACAATTGTGCAAACTGTTCTAAGCCGGCTATTTATGGGCTTTCAAGTCGAGGTTTCAATAAGGGGATTCGAAGAGCGAAATATGCGAAAATGACGGAAAGTCGGCCTAATTTCGGGGTTCTTTTAATTAATAGCCGAAATAGGCATTTTTCGTTAATACCTCATGTTTCTAGGATTATCGAATCGACGTCAATCGCTCGACAATTAAATTTGTCGATAGGGAGTGTAAATTACAGCAATTACGCTACACTGAAACTTATGGGGCAATATTGGATTCCGACTAATTATTATTGAAAAGCATTTTATAACATGTACTACTAAATAATTACTAAATATGGGATTCAAATCAAAACAATATTTTAATCACCACTGAACCATCATATGTATTATAAATAAATCTCGAAATGATGTAATTAAAACGTCCCGAAACAAATTTCCTTGTTTGACAAATACTTGCCCCCGATTAATTACAGATTTCATCCAGATAAACATCCATCCAAGTGGCAGAAGTTCCAAACTTTTCCGCAAACTTATTAAATAAGCAAGAAACCGTCTTTTAGAATCAGATATAAAAAATTCGTCGAGGATAATTTCGACAGAACTTTCCTCGTTCCTGAAGTACAGCCCAACAAATCTAGTTCTTTGAAAAAATTTGTCGGATTTTTGTTTCCTGGTAACCTCTATAAAACTTAAAACCAGTGACGTAAATTTCTTCATTTTTCGATTTGCGATTTTTCGAGATTAAAATTTATTTTAGTTTTTGAATTTTCCAACTTTTAGACATGACAATTTTTCGTTTTAAAGTATCTCGAATTTTCAATTCTTAATTTTCCAATTCTTCAAGCTTTCGATTTACAATTTTTCGTTCGCGGTTTTTATTTTCTTTATTTTTGTAAATTTTCGAATTTTCAATGTTCCGAATTTACACTTTTTTGTTTTTTCATTTCATTTTTGTTTCTTTTTTTTTTGTTTCTTCAATTTCACGATATGTAATTCTTCCAGTTTTCATTTTTAAATTATTCAGTCTTTCGATTTTCCAACCTTTTTAATTTTTCGATTTTTCAATTTTGATTTTGCTTCAGTTTTTCAATTTGCAATGTTTCGTTTCGATTTTTTTATTGTCTTTATTTTTTCAAGTTTAAATTTTTCAGTTTTTCAATTTTCCAAGTTTTGAATTTGACAATAATTGTCCGATTTAAAATCTGCCGAGCTTTCAATTTTTAATTTTTCATTTTTCCAATTTTCGATTTATAATTCTTCGGTTCAGTTTTTTAATTTCTTTTTCGAATTTTCAAGGTTCCGATTTTACAAATTTTTGTTTCTTCAATTTAATTGTTTTCAATTTTTCCTTTCTTCAATTTTACGTTATGTAACTCATCCAGTTTTCAATTTTAAATTTTTCAGTTTTTCGATTTGCAATTTTTCGTTTAGATTTTTTATTTTGTTTATTTTTTCAACTTTTCAGTTCTTTATTTTCTTTCATATTCCAGTTGTTCGGATCTCAATTTTTCATTCATTGGATTTTTCAATTTTAGATTTTACAGTTTTTCGATGTTTCAATTTTTCGATTTGCAAATTTCCCGTTTCTTATTTTTTTTGTTTCTCCAATTTTAGGATATATAGAGTTATCTTTTTAAATCTTTCAGTTTTTTAATTTTCCAACTTTCGGATGTTCCAATTTTTTGTGTGTAATTTCACGAATTTTAAATTTGCAATTTTTTGTTTTCTTTCTTCAATTTTTTAGTGTTCTTATTTTCCTTTTTTTGTCTCAATTTTTCATTTTTTGGATTTTTCAATTTTTGGCGAATCTAAATTTTCGTTTTTCCGAATTTTCAATTTCTGGGTTAATCAATTTTTTAATTTTTCAACATTCCAATTTTTCAATTTTTTTAATTTCCGATTTCTCAATTTTTTAATTTCTCAATTTTTGAATTCTCAATTTTTCAATTTCTCAGATTTTTCAGATTCTCGATTTCTTAAATCGTCGATGTTTCAGTTTTGGGACTTTTCAATTTTTGTGATTTTCCAATATTCAGACTTTTCAATTTCTCGATTTTTCGATTTTTCAATTTTGAAATTTTAGTTTTTCAGTTTTTTGATAACTCGATTTCTCTCAATATTTCGAATTTTCGACCCCTGCTTTGAGATTTTTTGGTTTTTTAATTTTTCGATTTTCATATCTTGATTTTCAATTTTTCCTTTTTTCAATTTTTTGTTGCTTAAATTTTTATTTTGCAACTTTTTTAGTTTTAACTTTTCAATTTTACGAATTTTTAATTTTTGAATTCTTTGATATGTAAAAATTTAAACATTTTTAGATCTTCCATTGCTATAGTTTTTCGACTTTTTCCGCTTTTATAATTTTTCGATTTTTTAATTTATCAATTTTTGGCGTTTCTAAATTTTTTAATTTTTCGACATTCCAATTTTTGAATTTTCAATTTTTCGATTTCTCAGATTTTTCGGCTTCTCCATTTTTTGATTTCTAAAATTTTCGATTTCTTAAATTGTTGATGTTTCAGTTTTGGGACTTTCCAACATTTCGATTTTTCAGTTTTTCAATTTTTAAATTTTTTGGTTTTTCAATTTTCAGTTTTTCAATTTTTAAATTTTAGTTTTTCATTTTTTTAATAACTTGATTTTTCTCGATATTTAGAATTTTCGACCCCTGCTTTTAGATTTTTTGGTTTTTTAATTTATTCGATTTTTCAATTTTTCAATTTTTAATTTTTTAATTCTTCAATATTTAGAAATTGAAAATATTTTAGATCTTCCATTGTTACAGTTTTCAGACTTTTTTCCGCTTTTATAATTTTTCGATTTTTCAATTTTTGGCGAATCTAAATTTTCGTTTTTCCGATTTTTCAATTTCTGGATTAATAAATTTTTTAATTTTTCGACATTTCAATTTTTTGATTTTTCAATTTTTCGATTTCTCAGTTTTTTTAATTTCCCAATTTTTGATTTCTCAATTTTTCGATTTCTCAGATTTTTCGGTTTCTCCATTTTTTGATTTCTGAAATTTTCGATTTCTTAAATTGTCGATGTTTCAGTTTTGGGACTTTGCAATTCTTGTGATTTTCCAATATTTCGATTTTTCAGTTTTTCGATTTTTCAATTTTTAAATTTTTTGGTTTTTCAATTTTTCAATTTTGAAATTTTAGTTTTTCACTTTTTTGATAACTCGATTTCTCTCGATATTTCGAATTTTCGACTCTTGTTTTTGGATTTTTTGTTTTTTCAATTTTTCAATTTTTAACTTTTGAATTCCTCGATATTTAAAAATTGAAAAATTTTTAGATCTTCCATCGTTACACTTTTTCGACTTTTTCCGCTTTTATAATTTTTCGATATTTCAATTTGTCAATTTTTGGCGTTTCCAAATTTTCGTTTTTCCGATTTCTGAATTTCTCGATTAATCATAATTTTTATGTTTCGACTTTCCGATTTTTGATTTTTCATTTTTTTGATTTCTCAATTTTTTGACTTCTAAATTTTTCGATTTTAAAATTTTTCGTTTTCTCAATTTTTCAATTTCAGTTTTTAACTTTTTTGATAACAACTCGATATTTCTCGATCTTACGAATTTTCGACTCCTGCTTTTAGATCTTTTAGTTTTTCAGTTTTTCGACTTTCAAATCTTAGATTTTTAATTTTTCGTTTTTCAGCTTTAAAACGTAATAACAATTACAATTTTAAAAAAATTTCAGTTTTTCAATATTACGAATTTAAATTTTCAAAACTTTCAATGTATATATTTCGACTTCGTGAGATTTTTATAATTTTTCGATTTTCTAAATTTTGGCGTTTCTAAATTTTCCTTTTACCAATTTAAATTAAAAATAATTATTAATTGGCAATAATAATTATTTTAATTTTTCGATTTCTTAATTTTTCTGAAATTTTCGATCTTTCAATTTTTGTGATTTTTCAATATTTCAATTCTTCAATTCTTCAATATTTCAATTCTTCAATTCTTCAATATTTCAATTCTTCAATTCTTCAACTCTTCAACTCTTTAACTCTTCAACTCTTCAGTTCTTCAGTTCTCCAGTTCTTCAGTTCTTCAGCTCTTCAGTTCTTCAATTCTTCAATTCTAGATTTTTCACTTTTTTGATAATTCGATTTCACGATCGTTCGAACTTTCGACTCTTGCTTTCAGATTTTTTGTTTTTCAATTTTTCGTTTATTAAATTATTGGATTTGCATTTTTTCTGGCTTTAATTTTAAATATGTAGTAACAATTAAAATTGTTAAAATTTTTCACTCTTTCAATTTTACGAATTTACAGTTTTTCCATTTTTCAATTGGATTTCTTTCTGATTTATTCGATTTTTCAATGTTTCATTTTTTAATTTTTAAATTCCTCGGCACTTAATTTTTCAATTTTTCGATCTTTCAATGTTACAGTTTTTCGATTCGATTCTTGGTTTTTTTCGATTCATACATTTTTTTCGATTTTTAAGTTTCTCGATTTTTAATTTTTAAATGTTTTAATTTTTCATTTGTTCAGTTTTTTGAAGTGCAGTTTTTTGGGTTTTCCCCTTTTTTATTTTGTAATTTCTCGTGTTTCAAAGTTTTCCGATTTTTCAACTTTTCGAATCAAAAAAATGTAAAAATTGCAACACTGTTTAATTGAAAAATCAAAAATGAAATTACTCAAATATCTGGAATAACAACGATGGAAAATCCAAAAAGTTCCAGAACTTGAAAATTTGCAGAAACGAAAAATTGAAAGGTCG